ACTTGCAATTCAATTGTGTTAAGTGCTCACCATCCGATAAGAAGAGGCTATGGAATGCTCGAGCGTGGCTAGGCTAGTTTTTGCGCCGTGAGACCATTGACGTATGCTTCGGCAAGGTTCTCTTAGCCCGTGGATCCACTTATAACTAGTCAGTGTGTCAGGCAGATACAGTGAACAGTTCCCTCCAATCCATCTCCCAAGGATTATACCGTTTACAGTCGCTACATGAAGGAAGGGGGGAAAATATGCTTGCAAGTGACGGTGAATTACGGTGAAATTCTAACGGCACAGCTAATTCAACACCGTCTTCCTGTTTCTCCTTTATTCGCTAGGTTTGTTTTCTTGCTCATTGGGTTAGTAATGTGTTCATGTCTTTCAAAATTGACGCAAGTCAGAGACACGATAAGCTGGGCTGTGCAAGATGGCGCTATATTCTTATAGAGCGCTTAGTATTCAGCCTAGTAGTGAGTAGATTGTGTTAATGTGGTATGGAACAACGGTTTGTTTACCTGTATTGTCTTCCGGCGGCTGTCTTGAGGTCGCCGGCGGCTGTCTTACGATAGCATAGAAGCTTTTATTTTAAGGCGATTAACTCCTAGACTGAACCATAGACGTGCCATCATAGAAAACGGATCATCCTACATTTGCGCGGGAGAATTTTTTTGATTTTTGCATTGAAAGGGAAATCTGGATTACCTTGAGGTAGTTCAGAGGTTCATTGTCCGTGTCCTTGCTTCAGACCATGCCTCATAGTGGCTGGTCTGGCCGACCAGGCTGTTAATAGACGCCGCGATACTAGCAGTCTGACATCTGAATTTATATTGCCCGGTTGTTCAGGAACAACCCCCGAGATGTAATGTTCACTGCTTCAGTGATCCTCACAATCAGTACTTGGTAGCACGTTCAGTAGCACAGTAGTCTACGTCCCCGGCTCACAGCCAAGATCCAGGTTTGCTACTCCCACTGGAAGGCCAGAAATAGTCGGGCACATTTTCTTTCACCTGTTACCTCTATTCACCCAACAGTAAATAGGAATGCCAGTTATCTTGAGATGATTTCGGGGCTTTTAGTGTCCCCGCGGCCCGGTCCTCGACCAGGCCTCCACTCCCAGGAAGCAGCCCGTGACATCTGACTAGCACCCAGGTACCTATTCTACTGCTAGGTAACAGGGGCATAGGGTGAAAGAAACTCTGCCCATTGTTTCTCGCCGGCGCCTGGGATCGAACCCAGGACCACAGGATCACAAGCCAGTGAGTTAGGTAACTGTTGTGGCATGTATACTGAGAATGGCCAGCGCACAAAATCTTTAATTCTGTTTTTACATTAACCACACTCGACAACAGATAACTAAACAACTTATATATTCAATAAAAGATATTAATTAAATGCTAATTAAATTACTAAATTGGTCGCATAAATCACAGATGCACATTCTGGTAAAATATGGCGGGATTATTGCCATGCGCGTGCGGTTGGCGCCTGCGCACTGTGCATTAGTGAACGTTTAGGATAAAAGGTTGCATTTTTTACGAAGAGGCAAATCAAAGAGAACTCGCCCTTTCAACTTAATAGGTTGCGTTTTTTTTTACGTTATTGCAACCAACGATATGAATGCAACATATTCAGAAAGGCAACGGCTCGCAAGTATTCGCGTTTTCTATGCATCGGACTCGATAGGTTAGGTGGGTTGCTTGGGTTCGTAAATTTCTGGTCAGGCTAAGAAGTTATCTTGAGATGATTTCGGGGCAGTCCATAGCAGCTGTCTTAACTCCCAGGTACCTACTTACTGCTAGGTGAACAGGAGCATCAGGGGGAAAGAAACTGCCCATTTGTTTCCGCCTCCGCCGGGGATCAAATCCGGAACCTTAGGAATTCGAATTCCGAGCGTTGTCCACTCTGCCCCCTAGGGTGGGTACCAGATCAACCAGGCTGTGATTCATACGTCAGGCTGCGAGCAGCCGCGTCCAACAGCCTGGTTGATCAGTTCAGCAACCAGGAGGTGGCCTGGTCGACGAGCCGCGGGGACGCTAAGCCCCGGAAGCACCTCAAGGTAACCTCAAGGTAGGAGGCAGGAATTTTTGTTTACACATTGAAAAATCAAAAGAACGGGTCAAGATACGATGGGCAACCCCCCAAGGTAAACCTCATACTATACAATAAGACGTGTATACCTACCTACCTGGCTTCTCTGTATAGATACAATGATTTTGATTTGATTTTGATTTTTGCCGCCGAAGGCGGCTAGTTTATTGTGCACCCCATACTCATCCTGTGAGCGGTAGCGCAAAAGCATTACAGAGGGCACAAAAGGTCTTTATCAGACCTCATCTTAGATTATTACATAAACAATTTCTTCAATCCTTCACACCTTATAGATACAATGAGTTTACTTCAATCCTAGATTACTCAGGACTAAAGTATACTTACAGAGAGTAAGTAGTTGGAGAGTACTTGGAGAGACTATTGTACTTGGAGAATACAATAGCTTACTTGGAGAGTAAGCTATTGTGGTCGCCCGAGGTAGATATAGCACTTAACCTTATCACCAAACCTTAATAAGATCTACCACTCCTGTTCCCTGAAACCTTTACACATTTTATTGGCCTGTCATACACTCACTCCACTATATATTCACATATAACTATAGCTAATCGCATGTAGATATAGCTATTCACATGATATAATTCAACTTTACAAAACATAATTCTAGGTAACAACAGGCTACTAGTAACCAGGCAATCGGTAAAAAAATAACCTTCAATTTGATGTTATAATTATTTATCAATTACCATCATATAATTAAACTTAACGCTTATATAAAAAAAATGGAAATGGTATTTGATAGGTTTCTATATGAAGAACAAATGTTAACCAATTTAAAGAAAGCAACCGGCCACAGAGCGTCGACCCGGCCACAGAGCGTCGGCCCGGCCACAGAGCGTCGGCCCGGCCACAGAGCGTCGGCCCGGCCACAGAGCGTCGACCCGGCCACAGAGCGTCGGCCCGGCCACAGAGCGTCGGCCTGGCCACAGAGCGTCGACCCGGCCACAGAGCGTCGGCCCGGCCACAGAGCGTCGGCCCGGCCACAGAGCGTCGGCCCGGCCACAGAGCGTCGGCCCGGCCACAGAGCGTCGGCCCGGCCACAGAGCGTCGGCCCGGCCACAGAGCGTCGGCCCGGCCACAGAGCGTCGGCCCGGCCACAGAGCGTCGGCCCGGCCACAGAGCGTCGGCCCGGCCACAGAGCGTCGACCCGGCCACAGAGCGTCGGCCCGGCCACAGAGCGTCGACCTGGCCACAGTGCTGACCGAGGCCCGGGGCGCTGGCTAATATGGCGGGCTTCCTGGTGACCGGGGCAGACACCAACAAAAAAGAAAGAAAACGAAAGAAAGAAAAAAGAGAAAGAAAAAGAGAGAGAGAGAGAGAGAGAGAGAGAGAGAGAGAGAGAGAGAGAGAGAGAGAGAGAGAGAGAGAGAGAGAGAGAGAGAGAGAGAGAGAGAGAGAGAAGATGGGGGGAGAAAGGGAGTTGGCAAGAGAAAGAAATCGACTTAGCAGGAGAAAGTAAGAGAGACAGAAGAAACAGAATAAGAGAAAGAAACAAAGAGAGAATTCAATAAAAAAAACTGAGAAAGTAAGAGAGGAAGAAAAAGAATGAAATAAAGAAAAACAGAGATAAAGAAACAGGAGAAAAAAGGGAGAAAGCAAGAGAAACAGAACGAGAAAAAACAGAGCAAGAGAAACAATCAATATGAGAAAAGACGAGAAAGCAGGAGAAAGGGAGTGAAAAAAGAAAAACAACGAGGAAAAAACTGAGAAAAAGGCGTTTGACCACCCATGGCAGTCATGGATGAGCACCAAAACCATAATTACACAGTCCGTCCTCCTAAGGTTTCTCAACGTCCAGAAAACGGTCAACTTAAAGTGCCCTTAGCCTAACCTACCAGAGGACCCAAAACAGAAAACGGGACAGTACATCACTTTCTCGAGCCGCTTCCATTTTCTAGTACGACCATTTTTGGCCTATTTAACGCATACGAGCGAAATGCGTTTTTTTTTTTGTAAGAGGCCAGGTTGTATTTTACAAACAGCATAAAACACAATATCAGCCAAGCACAATATAATTAGGATTAATTGGGATTAATCTCCTTGGGATTAATATACTTGCACACTTTATAATACAATACTGCCTGTCTTGTCTTTAACTTCCTTGACTACATAATGAACTCACATTAACAATGTATCTATGAGAACATCTTCGCAGCAGGTCGGCGGGAATCGAACCCGCGTCTGTAGTAACGTGGGACGTCCCAAACGCGCGCAAAATCTAGGTGGGTTGCTTGTGTTCCTAAGGTTCTGGCAAGGTTAGGAGGTTAGTTTCTTGACGGAGTAGCAAATGAAGTGAGCGGGCGGGTTGGAACACTCGAAATCATGCAGATATATTCTATCATTCTTTTGATTCTTTGCATTTGTAACTCTCAAGATTATATATATACACACACCAGTTGAGAGGCGGGACCAAAGAGTCGAAGCTCAACTCCCCGCAAGCAAGTGTGTGTACTCACTAGGTGAGTACACACACGTAGCTAAATTTTCCAAGTGAATTTATTAATAGCAAATATGGATATTTGGCTTTCCTTCGTAAAATCATATACACTTATAATTTGATTTGGCTAGTTTTGATAGGCGATTCAAAATGAATACAAATTGCCATTTTTGGGTAATGCTTTTTAATACAATAGAAGCCTAAAACAGCATTAAACATGACTTTTTTGAACTTAGAAAATTTAAATTTCTCAAGCCTTTACAATTTGTTAAGTAAACTTATGTAAAGGTGAAGGAAAGACCCAATACGCTTAAGTGCATTAAAACCACATTTTCGAATACATCCTACATCCTTTAGTAATGTTTGCATAACGAATTAGAAGCCCGTAATTTGGTAGAAAATGTTAAAACATTTCAGACCAAAAGCATTTGGAAAAGCTGCATGTTGTGCCTTCTTGCAGATGCGTTGGTGGGGACGGCAGAGATTGGCAACAACGGTGGTGGTGATGGTGGTCGTGTTGGAGATGGTGGTGATGGTGGTGGCAGCGGCTGACGTTACCAGCTATGGACCCGCCGTCAGGGTGGCGGGCCAGGGCGGCGGCGGCGGGCGGGCTCACAGAAGCCTACGCCAGGTGGCAGAAGATTGTGACTGTACGTATTAGATCTACCACTCCTGTATTAGTTCAGCTGGTGTAAATCACTCCTGTATCAGTTTAGATAGTATAAATCACTACTGTACATATAGGTCACTGGACGTAAACGTCCTGTATTTGATTACACCGTGCAAACCATTTATGTACGTATAGATTACACAATAAACTACTCATGTACGTATAGATTACACAATAAACTATTCATGTACGTATAGATTACACAATAAACTATTCATGTACGCATAGATTGTACTATGTAAACTGCCCACATATGTATGGATTACGCTGTGTACACCACTCCTGTACAAGATAAATATTACACCATAAATGTTAGATATTTTCAACCCTACCGTCACCATTAGGCCTAAGCATATATACATCCATTGATTCAGCAAACTGTGTTACTTTCTAGATATCCTTTTTTTCTTGCTACTCTTCTTATCTCTTGTTATCTGACTTTACAACTTCCCACATCTCATCTTCCCTGTATGTTCAGTTATCTTAGACCACATTAGAGACTGCGGTCCTTCGGGTAAATTTAAGGATAATGAATTAATTGTAAAATCTAAGTTCTCACTGCCACTATAACCACCATCATTACAACTTCCATCCACCACTAACCTTAATCCACCCACTACCTCCGCAAAACCAAAACCACCACTCAATTCACCACCACCATCTTCAACCACGACCTCCACTTACCAAAATCAACTACCACCCCCCTCTTTTATGGTACTGGGTACCTTTATGGTACTGGGTAACGCCCTCTACTGACGTAAGCAACAGTGCCAGGAGGTATCCGGGCCTTTCCTACGTAATGAATAGGTCATAAGGTCTCTGCCACCCATGTTTCACTCACGTTCGTGTTCTTTATCTTTTCCTCTCCGTCTGTACCTTCCTTTATGTTACTACATATACTATTTATATCGCGTTTCCTGTGAACACAGGAAATTTATTGTCTGGCTCTCTCATCCACACCAAGAAGTTATAGCAAGCTTGCCTACTCTGGCCTGAGAGTAGTCCAGAGGGCCTGAGCACAAGGACCTGAGCACAGGATGAAATATCCAAGGGCCTGAGCACAGGATGGAATATGCAAGATGGACCCATCATGGATCTAGAGTGACTTGCTTTCACACACACCCAATAAAACAGGAGTGAATATATTCCTCGTTCAGTTAAATAATTGCAAACCAGATGGACCAAGTAGTGGCTTTGTTAACCTTTACACAATGTCTCAATCTCTATCTGGGATTACCTTCTGTGCTCCAACTGCGAAAGCTATTTTTCTCATTTGTTAACTATTATTAAATCATGAGCCCCTCGGTGTAGTACCGTACTTATAAATAGCTGCGCAGTTTAGGGGTTCACCATTAAGCAATTTTTTTGTGTTGCTATTTTCGCTGTAATTCTTGTAATTATTGCTGTTACAGCTACAGTGACACGTTCTACCCATTACATAAGAAAAAAAACGTTGATTTGAATGTGAAATAAAACAAATATTGTTTGTAGCCTAATTGAAACCTCACCAAAAATTCATAAGAAATGCTGTCTTACCGTATTGTGTTGCATTAGGCTACACAAACGTTTGCCTATAACTCTGAAATAAGGTTATACTTAATGGAAGTCTTCTCGATTTCCAAATTCCGAAATGGTCCAAGGTGGCAAGACGGACCGACCGACCGACCTGTACCCACGCGTCCAATCTGTCCTACAAAGAACGTCGTATTTCACTTGCATGCGTTACATAAGGCCAAAAATTGTCGTTCTTGACAATGGAAGAGGCTGGAGAAAGTGACGTACTGTCCTGTTTTCTGTTTTGGGTCCTCTAAAATAGTAGGAAAGGTCACTTTCAATTTACCCTTTTCTTGACGTTGTGAAACCTTAATAGGACGGACTGCGCACAGTTTAAAGCTTAGATCCTTCAGTAAAAACACACAATTTCAGTATTTCACAATTGCAACACAATAAAACCAAGACAAAATTATGTAACAAACACAGTAACAAACGAAGATGATGTAACAAAAGATGATTTGTTATGTAACAAACGAAGATGAACCGCCCAGTTATTTAACAAAAAAAAAAAAACCTTATGAGTACTCGAGGCTCTTAAGACTCGCCAGCAACAACCTGTTAACGCAAAACGACAAAAAACAAGTTGTGGTAATTTTTTTATAGCGCGTACGTTTACCAACTGATGACGTCACACTGACGCTTCCAGCCTAAACCGCTTTTGTTTACAAATGCACCGGTCTGTGTTTCCGCCAGCTGGTGCTATGATCAGGGGTGTGTGTTCGCCAGCTGGTGCTGTGATTAGGGGTGTGTTCGCCAGCTGGTGCTGTGATCAGGGGTGTGTTCGCCAGCTGGTGCTGTGATTAGGGGTGTGTTCGCCAGCTGGTGCTATGATCAGGGGTGTGTGTTCGCCAGCTGGTGCTGTGATTAGGTGTGTGTTCGCCAGCTGGTGCTGTGATCAGGGGTGTGTTCGCCAGCTGGTGATATGATCAGGGGTGTGTGTTCGCCAGCTGGTGCTATGATCAGGGGTGTGTTCGCCAGCTGGTGATATGATCAGGGGTGTGTGTTCGCCAGCTGGTGCTATGATCAGGGGTGTGTTCGCCAGCTGGTGCTATGATCAGGGGTGTGTGTTCGCCAGCTGGTGCTGTGATTAGGGGTGTGTTCGTCAGCTGGTGCTGTGATCAGGGGTGTGTTCGCCAGCTGGTGATATGATCAGGGGTGTGTGTTCGCCAGCTGGTGCTATGATCAGGGGTGTGTTCGCCAGCTGGTGCTATGCTCAGGGGTGTGTGTTCGCCAGCTGGTGCTGTGATTAGGGGTGTGTTCGCCAGCTGGTGCTGTGATCAGGGGTGTGTTCGCCAGCTGGTGCTGTGATTAGGGGTGTGTTCGCCAGCTGGTGCTATGATCAGGGGTGTGTGTTCGCCAGCTGGTGCTGTGATTAGGTGTGTGTTCGCCAGCTGGTGCTGTGATCAGGGGTGTGTTCGCCAGCTGGTGATATGATCAGGGGTGTGTGTTCGCCAGCTGGTGCTATGATCAGGGGTGTGTTCGCCAGCTGGTGCTATGATCAGGGGTGTGTGTTCGCCAGCTGGTGCTGTGATTAGGGGTGTGTTCGCCAGCTGGTGCTGTGATCAGGGGTGTGTTCGCCAGCTGGTGCTGTGATTAGGGGTGTGTTCGTCAGCTGGTGCTGTGATCAGGGGTGTGTTCGCCAGCTGGTGATATGATCAGGGGTGTGTGTTCGCCAGCTGGTGCTATGATCAGGGGTGTGTGTTCGCCAGCTGGTGCTATGATCAGGGGTGTGTTCGTCAGCTGGTGCTGTGATCAGGGGTGTGTTCGTCAGCTGGTGCTGTGATCAGGGGGTGTCGTCAGCTGGTCTATGTCAGGGGTGTGTTCGCAGGTGCTATGCTCAGGGGTGTGTTCGCCAGCTGGTGCTATGATCAGGGGTGTGTTCGCCAGCTGGTGCTATGATCAGAGGTGTGTTCGCCAGCTGGTGCTATGCTCAGGGGTGTGTTCGCCAGCTGGTGCTATGATCAGGGGTGTGTGTTCGCCAGCTGGTGATATGATCAATCACAGCGTTCTTTCTAGTTTTATGGCAACTTATTTAGCTGTCAAATGGTACAAAACGAAAGACTTTTCAATAATGTTTTCCGGTCGCAAGTGGTTTTGAACTATTGGTTCAAATTAGTTCATATGAAATTCAATACAAATCAATTATAATTTACCTACACGATTGAACATCGCATGATCCTGAGAGTATCAACAACAGCTCGACTTTCCACTCCGTATAAATGCAACTGTCTAGCCTAACCAGAACCAGGCTACGTACAAACCTTTTTTACATCCTTTTATCGAGCTTTGGCGGCTTTGTTTACATTTATTAAAACAGTTTACCCACCATCGAAACATCCCAATCAAATGTTGTTATTCTTATAAACAGCCTCCTGATGTTTCGGAGCTCTACGGGAGATTCCAGAGCCCCTACAGGAGGGGGCTCTGGGACCTGTGGGGGAGGCTCTGGGACCTGTGGGGGAGGGGGGGCTCTGGGACCTGTGGGGGGAGGGGGCTCTGGAACCTGTGGAGGGGAGGGGGGCTCTTGGACCTGTGGGGGGGGGGGGTGACTTTCCGAGCCTCGATCAGGATAGGCTGACGTTCGAACAAATCTACGGTTAGTTAGGCAAGACAATTTCACTTGTTAACGGAGCATCGAATCGCGAGAAGGGATGTTTGACTAGGCAAATGAATGCTCTGTCTTCCGCATTTGGCCGTGTCCCTGGGATGGGATCGGGTAGCCCAAGAGGACTACCTTGGTGGGCCCATCTGCAGGGTCTGGTCGTTCCAAGGCTACTGGTTAACCCTGGGGAGGAGTTTTTATCCTCCCTTGAGGAGGATAAAAAGGTTGCTGGTTATCTCAACCAGTGATTATACATGTAACATTTACAACCTCAAATTCTTGGCAACCAAAAAAAATTAGGCTGAAACATTCTAAAGAGAAATCAAAATTCTTCAAACTTCCTTCACATTCCAAACATTTCAAAATTCCAGACACTATACATTTTATAAAAATCATACTAAAATTGTAGAGGAAAATTCTATAGGTTACGGGAATACTATACGAATTAAAATTGAACATAATTTTTTTTTACAAGCCACAACAATTCAAGGTAAAATGCAAAAAATTCACGGCAGAAAGCAATATTTCAAAGCAATTCCAATTTCTAGGCAAATTACACACAATTCAAGGTAGACCACTCTCACAACACCGTGTGGAGCCGGTGGCTGAGCAGACAGAACACTGGACGCGTGATCCTGTGGTCCCAGGTTCGATCCCGGGCGCCGGCGAGAAACAACGGGCAGAGTTTTTTCACCCCGATGCTCCTGTTACCTAGCAGTAAATAGGTACCTGGGAGTTAGTCAGCTGTCACGAGCTGCTTCCTGGGGGGTAGAGGCCTGGTCGAGGACCGGGCCGCGGGGATACTAAGCTCCGAAATCATCTCAAGATAACCCATGATAAACCAATTACAATTCAAGGCAAACTACACAATTCTAAGTAAACTACACACACAATCCAACACGAACCACAATACAATCAAGGTAGATGACAGGCCAGGAGCGTGTATATATATAAGCTTCGAGGTGTCGTTCCATTAAATTACGGGCTATTCATGCCCGTGCCACTTCTTGAGTGGCTTAATCTTTACCAATCATCGTTCCATTAATCCCGTCAATGGGTGATGTTTCGTTACAGCCAAGACTTGCTGCGGGTACACGGAGGGCAGCGTCGGCTGCCGCTACCAGGGTCATCGGTGCCGCTGCCCCTTCGTCGTTCCCCGACCCATCCCCTTCACCCACTTCGGCAGCCTCTTCACCCACCCGAAACGGAAACGCCCCACCACCCATGATACCCAGGGCAGGTGCCGAGGTAAAAGGCACAATGGTGGGTGTGAAGACACTCTATCCATACCTGTTAATTATTAGGTCCCTTGAAACACCCCCTCCAGGTAAATCAGGTTACGATAGACGGTAGGATTGAGTAACGTGAAATTAACATAGGATTAACGTTACCGTCGTTGATTCATTATTACATCAACGTCATTGTCTCGGGATTGCCCAGGGTGGTCAACGACGCTGAAGGAACGTTCAACCAATGTTAACATTGATGACATGCTGCTTTGGCGGTGTGTCCACTCACAAGATGAGTGGCGCTGCCCAATAAACTCGCCCCTCGGGGCAAAATTTAAAAATTTAATTGATGCAGCAATGGTTCAATATTATTTCTCTTGTAAACCCCTGGGCAAACTACATTCATTTAATTGGGAGAGTCCCAGTGGGCACAATATCAAAGTGTAAGGTTAATTCAACGTGACTCTTGGATATTATGCCCACTGGGTAGAGGAGGGGGGTAGAAATAGTCTAAGCTACTCTAGCTTATTCTTAGGCTATAGTAGGTAGAAATAGCTACTCTATCCCTTTGAGATGTATTTCTTTCTTGTCTCGATAAACATACTTGAACATGAATTGAACTGGGTAGGTATTTACCACCATCAGTGTTGAGGCTGCTCTCCCAACAACCGCTCGTGTAGTGAACATTGCTTTGCTTGATAATGCCAAACTCATTTAAAGTGAGATTGAATGTGTAGTTGGGTTGTTATAATTATTATTATTATTGTTATTTGTGCTGCGATTACTACTGGTATCATCACACTATTAGTAATATTATTTTTGTACACAAGTCGCGTTAGTTTTATTAGGCTGTTGAAAGTAGCGTTTTAGCTTGCAATGTTCAGTTATCTGTACCAGTTCGGGTTATTATTTCTACTTAATATTATTGTGATTATAATACAAATATTTTGGCGAGAACAGTTTCATGATTGCTAAAAAAAAAAAAAACTATATAATATATATTTTTTTAAATATACCGATTTTATTCTGAAAACATTTGTAATTCTAGCAGACACTTTTTAACACCTGGAAATATTTGAGTGCGTACATAAGAGATTTTGCATACAATTGAGTTTTTTTTTTATAAAAGACCGCCATCCCATGAAAATGATTGTACAGAGTATCTGCACTTGTTTACAAGTCATTCCCTCTGTTAACGATGCGTAGCAAACAACCTGGGGGCGAATGAATGAAACTATCAGGAGAAAGCGCCAAGCCATTACTACTATATAGCTCTGGGAAGGGATCAGGATAAGGATTTGGGATCGAACGGGAGGAAGGAATGGTGCCCAACCACTTGGACGGTCGGGGATTGAACGCCGACCTGCATGAAGCGAGACCGTCGCTCTACCGTCCACCCCCAAGTGGTTGGGAACCTGGGGCCAGATTCACGAAAGCACTTACGCAAGCACTTACGAACGTGTACATCTTTCCTCAATCTTTGACGGCTTTGGTTACATTTATTAAACAGTTTACAAGCACGAAAACTTCCCAATCAACTGTTGTTCTTGTTGTAAACAGCCTTCTGGTGCTTCGGAGCTCATTAACTGTTTAATAATTGTAAACAAAGCCGCCAAAGATTGAGAAAAGATGTACAGGTTCGTAAGTGCTTGATTAACTGCTTCGTGAATCTGGCCCCTGGCATCCAAAAATGATAGCAAATATTCCTCAAACGTAGAAAAATGGACTGTTGTACCCAAGGAATTTACCGTTGAATTTTGTAGAGGGCACGAAAAAGAAGGTAACAATCAAATCTAAACTTTCCTAAGCCTAGTATAGAACCTTCACTACAAAGTGAAGGTGTATATTGGACCTAGGATTGCTTATTAAGTCCTAGGGCAAGTTAGCTTAGGTTGTCTACACACAAGGAAATCACAGTAACTTGGTGCATCTATGAGAAAGTTTCTGGAGCAGACGGGGATTGAACCAGGGGTCTGGGTAACCTAAAACACACGTCTTAACCCACGTGCCACGATATGACAAGGCTTATTTAAGCTGGGATCCGCCCGAATGCACAAGGTGTCTGGAGGGACCGTACTGGTATCTATGGTTTACAAATTACCCGCATAAACTTAAGTTTATGTAGTAATTTAATTACTTTGGTAATTTAAGTTTATGTAGGACCCTCTATCCTGCGTGACAGTGAATACCAGCATTATCCTCACTTTAACAAGGCTTAATCGAAATCCTCAGATTAGGCAAAATTGTAATTAATTTTGTCAATAAAGATGTTAATAATAATAATAATCTCAACCGAACGCTCCCTTCGAATACACTAGGAAATCCCATTAAAGTCATATTGTATGTCTATGATAAAATCTTTGCGATTTCCTTTTGTACTACTAGAATTGGCTATTAGCTCGGTGCCTCCCGACTCCTAGAGGATTTGGACAGATCCCAGGTTGTATAACATTTGCATATCATTGCTACTTACATTTCTACTTTCTAGTGTCATGTGGAGAACTCCAGTAAACAAAATATGACTTTTTGCTACAATAGTTCATTTTTGTACGTTCGACCAATAGTTGCTGTAAGTACTAGTATTTTGGGAGGATGGGTTATCAAGCTAAAGTTTGTGCTATGAATCCACAATTGTGGTTTCCGACCGATTGTTTCAGTCCAAACTGTAACTCCAGAAACGCTTTACTAGGCATGTTTAAATCATTGTGTGTCGGGTTTTGGAAATACAAAGCAGTAGGCATTTAGAGGTCAAGTGCATTTATAGATGTTGCTAATGGAACCGGGTAATTACTTTAAATATCATTGACGGTGAGTCTTTTCTAGAACGAGTTTGCAAATTATCCTAATTAGACATGTAACTTAATTTTTGCCCCTTGGTAGTGTTATTTTCTAACTGCTCCTGTTTCCAAAGTATTGAAAATGGCTATTATTATTCCCCTAAAACTTTGATCTGACCGTTGCCTTAAACACCTTAGGGAAAATGTCTTCACGGCTGCCGACTCCTTGTCTAGAACTATGACAAGTATGTCACAAAGCTGTAGATAAAGAGTCAGCAGCCTTCAAGTAATCAAGACATCTTCCCTAAGCAGTCTAAGGCAAAAGTCAAAGCAAAGTTTAAAAGAAATAATAATCATTTTCTTTATTTTAGAGACATAAGTAATCAGAAAATAACTTACTAACCAGGGACAAAATAATTGTTAGTGTGTTATTCGAAATCTACGGCATTGTCGAACGAATTTGCAAATCATGAGAAATATTGTAAATTATGTTCTTTCTGGCTGCTAAGCTTCAAAGTTAGTAACATTATTATATTAAGTGTTGTTGTTGTTGTTATTTTGACTATTACTACCTATGACTAGCTTTTGTTATGATTACATTAGACTTATTTATAAATACATTCAAATAAAGTTTGTCATCATTATGTGTTTTCTTTATATAAAAACGCTTATTTTTATTATAAAATATTATAATGCTCAGGTAAGTAGACCAGATTATCCATTATAATCTGGCTACGTTATTGACACTAAGTTACATTTAGAAATGTTGGGTTTGGCTTGACTAGGCTTGATATTTGACTTGATATTTCTCCCTCTGCTCACCCAGAGCAGAGGGAGAAATATCGCCATCCTCGGCTTTCACTGGAGCCACTTCCTGATCTTTCTGGACTTTAAGTAGGCCTAGGAGAATGTACTCAAATATATAATCGCAGTTTGCTCAACTTTTCTATAGACCTCGGGTAAGTTTATTGAATGCTAGAGGTTCTAGTGGTGACTTAGGTCTGGGTAAGATTAGGGTATGCTAGAGAGGTTCCAGTGGTGATCTGGACATAGATAAGCTTATGTAATACTAAAACATACTGGTGAAACGTCGATAAGACAGCACCCGTAACAAAAATCATGGGAGTGATTTAAGTAAGCAATTACAGGAGAGGGAGACCTCCTTTAGGTAGCCTAATCAGTCTATTTTTTTTTTTTTTGCTTGCGTACATCTACATTTCTACAGCTACTCTATACTATATGAAGGATTACATAGTGTGTATCAAGAACTGTGTGATACTTTTGATACCTGGACAATTATACAGCTATCCTAGACTGTAAATTATGTAACCCTGATGGATTACATGTGTGTCAAAAGTTAGATATGCAATACTAAGAAAAATCCCCCATCTCGCAGGATAATTTGTCAAAGAGGAGTATGATCTGTAGCCCGCACTAGCGAACTTTTGGGTGCATTATGAGGATATTCTCAAGAAAATGAGTGAATACAGCAATCGCAAAGCACCATGTACCTCATACCTGCAGGTCTGAAGGGTCTAATGACTGGACATTCAATAATGTAGTGTGAGAGCTAATGATCCAGTTCCTGTTCACTGACTGAACACCTGGAGTGCTCAGGATTGGGAGATCCGTCACCTGTAGCCACCTGCCACAGTTTATGGCAGCCCAATTTGAACTTGACAACCGCTGTGTCGCTAAGCCTAGTGCACGTTTTATGCTACCCATATCCTTAGATTTTGGATCTAAACAGGTTAGTTGGTAATTTTTTGTTATTAATAAGTACATCTGACATTAACTGAAAAAATAAGTCTATGGTGCCGAAATGACTTTGCAGGTCATGCTGCTACGTTCTCTATTGAGCACCAGCCTGGTGTTGGGAGCAGAGGGATTAAAAACTTGTACCTGTCACACAGAGCAGACCATCCCTATCCCTGCCTGTCACCCAGACCAGACCACCCCTATCCCTGCCTGTCACCCAGACCAGACCACCCCTATCCCTGCCTGTCACCCAGACCAGACCACCCCTATCCCTGCCTGTCACCCAGACCAGACCACCCCTATCCCTGCCTGTCACCCAGACCAGACCACCCCTATCCCTGCCTGTCACCCAGACCAGACCACCCCTATCCCTGCCTGTCACCCAGACCAGACCACCCCTATCCCTGCCTGTCACCCAGACCAGACCACCCCTATCCCTGCCTGTCACCCAGACCAGACCACCCCTATCCCTGCCTGTCACCCAGACCAGACCACCCCTATCCCTGCCTGTCACCCAGACCAGACCATCCCTATCCCTGCCTGTCACCCAGACCAGACCATCCCTATCCCTGCCTGTCACCCAGACCAGACCACCCCTATCCCTGCCTGTCACCCAGACCAGACCATCCCTATCCCTGCCTGTCACCCAGACCAGACCATCCCTATCCCTGCCTGTCACCCAGACCAGACCACCCCTATCCCTGCCTGTCACCCAGACCAGACCATCCCTATCCCTGCCTGTCACCCAGACCAGACCATCCCTATCCCTGCCTGTCACCCAGACCAGACCATCCCTATCCCTGCCTGTCACCCAGACCAGACCACCCCTATCCCTGCCTGTCACCCAGACCAGACCATCCCTATCCCTCCCACTCCACTGCTTTACAACAAACGCCAAAACCTCAAAATTTCTTCAAAACAACATTAATTGCAGTCTACGTTGTTAAGATTCACCCGTCGTTCACTCCACCAGTTATTAATAGTTACACAATAGATAGCGTTATGGCCACTCGCTGTAATTGTGATTAAAACAGGAAATGCGATAGTTTGTGACTCACGAATAGTTGTCATAGTACATAATAGTTCTGCCTTAAGTTATATCCTGCGCACTTGAACTATCCGCTAATAATAATATTTTATATACAAGAAGGTACAATAGGTCGTGAAAGTACATTAGTGATATTTTTATATTTCTTGTAAAGCCACTAAGACGCATAGCGTTTCGGGCAGGTCCTTAACCTGCTAAGGACCTTAATGTGTAACTTAACGTCACTTATCCTACCTTAACCCAGTTTAACTTTAGTTAAGCTCGCATAATGACGTGCCTTAACCTCCTCCCAGGAAAATAACTACAAGATATTAACGATAAGCAAACCCAAACCGGCTCTTAGTAAATACAAACTTAATTCACTGAATAACTGACCTTTTTTATTCAACATTCCCCCGGTCTACTGTTTGATCTGTTGTCTTCAGCTGACACCAAGTACGTTAGCCTTTACCGTAGAGGATAGATACGGGGTAAATAATACTGACAGATAGACACGTCACTCAAACATCAACACGGCACTGAGGCTCCTCCAACCTCTACCCCCCCCCCTCCTCCTCCAGGCTACGCTACCAGACGTCCAACACAAAAATGCCATAAAACACATGAATCTGTTAAAATACTTGCTGTAATATTTTTATTTCACTAATTTATATTTGCTTTGTGCTGAAGATTTCTGGGTAGCTTAAGAAGGCTTTCTTGGTATGATAATGGCTCACGAATTATATATATTTTCCTTTTCAGGGAAGTTGTCGTACTGCATCCAGATGCTTTGACCACTTTCAAAATATCAGCAGAAACTAACATTTAATTATCCCCCAAACTACACACTTCTCGAGAAGCGGATATATATCGAGGCTTAACACAATAGTATAGACTAGTTCGTTCCAAAAAATTATTTATTTATGAAGTCCATTGAATTGGACCAGAGATCATTATTATAAAATGAGAGGAGGGAGGGGGAGGAATTATTTCCTGGTGAAATAGGTTTTAATTTTCAAATATTATGAATTACTTCACCAACTGATATACTGATAATTATTTTTAATAAACACACAGTTGTCTGTTCCTTAAAAGTTTTTTTAAATGCTTGTTGATGTTGTATATTGATGTTCTTCAGGAAGAATATAATAGATACATTTTTGCTTTCGAGGTTAGTGCATGTGTTACATTGTTGCCATCACAGTAGCATATTAAATGAGCGTTGGTGATGCTCACAATAATATACCAACTGGGGCCATGATTCACCAAGCCTTTACGCAACCACTGACGAAACCTGTACATCTTTCCTCGATCATGGAGGCTTTTTTTTTTACATTGAACAGTTCAAGTATTACGTAAAACTCAACCTCGATAAAGATTACGAGGTTGTTGCTAGCAATAATAACCTTGGGTTGTGAAGTTTCTAAGCTCCTAAACTGTTTAGCACATCAGTTTTTCTACCTTCGGTAAAGGATACGCCAAAATGCGACGTGCTGTCAGGAGGACTGCTTATTCCATCACTGTGGGACTTTCCACAACACCGACATCGTGTCGCTGGCAACTACGGGCTCACCATAGCCCGTGCTACTTGAAACTACTTGTTCCAGGTAGCGAATCTTAAACAACAGTTGGCTATCATCCACCACGGGCTTAAAAGAGTAGGGGCCAGATTCACGAAACAGTTACGCAAGCACTTACGAACCTGTCCATCTTTTCTCGATCTTTAGCAGCTTTGTTTGCAATTATTAAACAGTTAATGAGCTCCGAAGCACCAGGAGGCTGTTTATAAGAATAACAACAGTTGATTGGCAAGTTTTCATGCTGGTAAACTGTTTAATAAATGTAACCAAAGCCGTCAAAGATTGACAAAAATGCACACGTTCGTAAGTGCTTGCGTAACTGCTTCGTGAATCTAGCCCCAGAAGATTCTCCTAACCTTAAAAAATATATTTATATTCGGTTCCCATTATCAAGGTAAGGTAGCCTGTTAGGGATTGATGATTGATTTATGAAGATTAAGCCATCCAAAAGGTGGCACGGGCACGAATAGCCTGTAAGTGGTGGCCCTTATGAGCCATTACCAGTATCAATAGATGATACTGGAGATAGATGGTCAATAGATGTACTGGAGATCTGTGGAAGTGCGGCTGCACCCTGCGTGACGGGAGATGTCTCCTGTGCCCTATTAGGGGTATCGAGATCCCTTTTTATGGGATCTTGACCCCTAGGTCAATAACTGACCTTCCCCAGGATGCAACCCGCAGCAGCTGACAAACTCCCGGATACCTATTTACTGCTTGGATGAACAAAGGCATCAGGTGAAAGAAAACAAACCCCTTCCAAGCTGAGGCAGAATCCAAATATTCATTCATCTATTTTAACGTAAAGTGTTTTCAAAATAAATGTTTTCTAAAATATAAATTAGTGTTGTTTGGTTTGGCGGGTGCATGGAATCACTTTTGGATCTTTGTTTGGAGGACGGGCTGAGTGAAGAACATGTTCCGGAAGTGTTCGAATGTCATCAGTTGTGAGTCGCAGCCCGTCCTCCAAACAAAGATCCAAAAGTGATTCCATGCACCCGCCAAACCACCAGCTGTTTATGAATGAAAAACGGTTTACACACGACTCACAACTGCTGACATTCGAACATATCCGGAACAAGTGCTTCACTTTCGAATTTTGTTCGAATCACAACGCTATAAATGCTTCACCCACGTACTACAAATACAAATAATCGCCAACAGAACCTAAACACCTAACCTAACCTATCCTATGCCTATATATACACAATATGCTAATATATTATAATATTAATTGATACTTGCGAAAATTCCCGTTTTGAATGAACAGCATATTAAAATTTATGAATGCGTCTGTGGGGTTGACCGCTGAATGTAATGGACTTGAGTCGAGGACGGGTTGCTATAAATGCTTCACCCACATACTTCAAATTCAAATAATCGCCAACAGAACCTAAACACCTAACCAGACCTACGCCTATATATACAATTTTTATGTATAATAATAATTTATATGAGAACAAACCTATTTTTCATACACAGTATGTTAAAATGGATGAATGCGTCTGGAGAGGACGGCCGCTGCTTTAAACTGCCTAGTGTGAGGACGGGTTGGTTTGTTATAATATTAGTTTAAAGATGAGAAAATTACTATTATGAATGAATAGCATATTAAAAGTGATAAATGCGTCTAAGGAGTTGTTCACTGGATGGAATGAACATAGTCTGAGGACGGGTTGCTTTTGGCAGTGGGTTAACTAGAATTTGCCCTTTGTTTATGAGCAAGAACTGAAGGAATCATGCTATATTAGGCGATTCTCATTTGCCAATAAAAGTGGGTAATCTTCCAATTTGTGATCTTTCTTCAAAATCTAAAAAAAAATCCCTTCAACGAAAGTTTTTGCTCAAGTATGGTAATAAACTTTGTGGGAAGTTGTATTCACTACATATGAAATACAATACACATTGTACATGAAACAATACAAAAAAGCTTTGTATACACGGCACCTCGCTACGTTATACACAATTTCTTGAGATTAACAGGAATTATGAATATAATTTCAACTAATATCTCTCAAAAGAAAACATGGAGGAGTGAGGGTAAGTAATTATCAAAGAAGGAGCCAAAAAGGCTGAAGGTGACTGAAATTACAATATAAATAATTTGGAGGCACAAAATATAATCTTTGGTATGAAGGTTCATTGCCAAGAGCACAATAAACCCACACATTTCGTCTCCGAAAGGTTGGTTTGGTTACACGTAAAAAAAATAAAGTTATCAATAATGATGAACTAGATCTAGGTATCTCTATTGTTAAGACTGTATTGCCCCAAACATTCATGACTGTTAGGAGAGAAATCACATTCTCAAAGGCCTGAAAGATATGTTCTATGTATAGTATATAGTCAGCACAAAACGTCCTCCAGACACAACAATTACCTGGCACAGGAGTGGGGCTGTAAGTCCACACTAGGGGCTCGCCATAGCCCGTGCTACTACTCGGAACGTTGTGTTACGAGGAGCTGAATCTAAAACAACAATAAACAACACCAGCTAGTGCGACACAGTGGTTGCCAGGATCAGGTTGGGTTACCGTTACCTGTGGCAGGTGGCTACAGGTGACGGATCTCCCAATCCTGAGCACTCCAGGTGCAAACTCTGTGAGCAGGAACTGAGGCATGATCTCCCACACTACATTACTGAATGTCCAGTCATTAGACTACATTCAGTGAAAGAATGTCGTACTAAATTACAATTACCTAACATGGATAAGTTACACACACTTGGTCTCTCGTGTGCGCGCGTGTGTGAAGTTCAAGTATGTTTATTGAGACAAGAAAAAATACATCTCAAAGGGATAGAGTAGCTTAGGCTCACAGAAATCACAATAGCGTGATGGATTTGTTCATTAGCTTAGGCTATTTCTACCCCCCGACGCGTGTGTGAATACCTAAGAGTAGTTACAAAATGACAGCTACGCTCGTAGTCTCTGGTCTTCCCAGCACTGCGTCACATGAAGCTCTGACCGTTTTGGCCTATATCACTTTCTCATTTAACATGTGTCCAATCGTTTACCACTCTGAAAAAAGTGAGCTTTCTAATGTTTCACCGGCAACTTTACTTCCTTATGTAGGCGAGGAGTCACAATAACGTGGCTGAAATATGTTGACCAAACCACACACTAGAAAGTGAAGGGACGACGACGTTTCGGTCCGTCCTGAACCATTCTCAAGTCGATTGTCGAGTCTCACAATCGACAATATGTGTGGTTTGGTCAACATATTTGACTTCCTTAGCTTGAATCTATGACCTCGTGTTCTTGAATTTGCAGTTTTCAATAAATTTTCTTTGTTAATTTTGTCGAGTGCTGTTACTATTTTGTACGTAGTAATCATATCACCTCTTTTTCTTCTATATTTTAGCATTGGTATATTTAACACCTCTAACCCTCTCTTCGTAGCTCTTTTTTTTCAGTTCTGAAACCAATATAGTTGCATGTCTGCACATTTTTCCAGTTTATTCATGTATGTTGCCGTTTCCTATGCCGTAACCGACGATTTAAACAATAACAAAAATATCGTATAATCCTTTAATTTCCCACCAATGGGCACACTTAAAACAGTGCTATTACAATCACCAGCTAAACTAATTTTCCCCCGAGCCATATTCCATTTCCACTTCCTTTGGACCTTTTCCTTGGCCTGTCGTCTATTTCTCTTCATCTCGTTCGTTCAACTGCTCTGACTGGTTGCCAGACACGACCTGTGGATAAGGAAAATGCGATAATTGAGGTTACAAAAACGAAGTTATATGTTGCGATCGGTTAGGCTAATGTTAATACTTTACATGCAGATAAAAAATTGCAAACGAAAGGAATTAAGTTGTATAAATGACCCAAGGCGTCAAAAACTTAGAATTAACAATTACAAAAGTCAGCATAGCGTAGCGTAAGCATAACTACCAATTACCCTGACGCAGCGCCAACAACCACACCACAACTACCCTGACGACGTGGGGACAGGAAGCCAGAGTGTATTCATACACGTTAGGCTTTTATCGAAGCCCACGACCGAATTACTGATCCCGCCCAGGATGCAATCCCACACCAAGCTGACTAACTCCTGAATACCTACTTACTGCTAGGTGAACAGAGGCATTAAGTGAAAGGAAATGTACCCAACCATTTCTGTCCCGCCCGCAGGATTCGAACCCCGAATTATCGATTGTGTGTCGAGAACGAACCCGACTGTACTACGAGGACCCTATGCATAAGAAATTGATTTTGCATCAACAGCTGGTTCACGGGGAATCAGCTGTTGATGCAAAACAACAGCCTTTGTTTACCTCTCACTGATAGTGTGTTCCTGAGAACCATTACCCTGGAAACACAAACAGAAACTGTCTATTTTCCGCTTGTTACAACTTGTAATAAAGTTGTTACATCTTGGCTTAACGTGTTTATGACGTATTAGAACGTTGTTACAACTTGCTATATTGGTTGTTATAACTGGTTAGGAGGCGTTAAAACTTGTTCGAACGTTGTACCAACGTCGTAGTTTCGGTGTGTGTTTGGCGGGTAGTGTTGTTACGACCGAGAGATCATGTAGGGGGAGAGTTCTCTCAACCGGAAATCATGGCCGGCTGACCGACTTAAGAGATATTGATTCACATATAAAAGGAATACGTATATTGTGTCTGCTTAAGTAACCAACTGTTTCTCAAATAACAAAAATCACATTAGCGTTTATGTAAGCACCATTATCAAGTTCAAGTTCAAGTATGTTTATTGAGATAAGCAATAAATACATCTCAAAGGGATAGAGTAGCTTAGGCTATTTCTACCCCCCTCCACCATTATCAATACAGTCTACGCAAGCAATTTCATCAATACAAGTACAATCATCACCAACATCTAGGGCATGGTAAACACAAACAGTTCATCGCGGGTGTAAACCTCACCGATATTTAGAAGTTTTTTTTTTTTTTTTTTTTTTTTATTATTTTCTACCACAGACGTGGCCACACATTTACAATGCTAACCACAATATATACATTTTCTTCTGTCCTCCATGGACAAGGTTAGAGATGTGTTAAACATCTGTGTTTACCACTGTAAAAGTGTGTGTTACCACTGTAAAAAGTAAACAAGAGAAGTGTGTTTACGGTGCCCTACACTACTAAATATATGTTAAACATATATTTAGTAGTGTAGGGCACCGTAAACACACTTCTTTTGTTTACTTTTTAATTTCTAACATTCTCGTAAAGCCACTAACACGTATAGCGTTTCGGGCAGGTCCTTAATCGAAATTTTCACCCGGAAAACGACCCGCCAAATCGTTTAACAACCAGGGGAGAGATTCACGAAGCAGTTACGCAAGCACTTACGAACCTGCACATTGATTGACAGTTGAGAGGCGGGCCGAAAGAGCAAAGCTCAACCCCCGCAAAAAAACACAACTAGTAAACACATCTTTCCTCAAATTTTGGCGGCTCTGTTTACAATTATTAAACAGTTAATGAGCTGCGAAGCACCAGGAGGCTGTTTATAACAATAACAACAGTTGATTGGGGAGTTTTCATGCTGGTAAACTGTTTAATAAATGTAACCAAAGCCGTCAAAGATTGAGGAAAGATGTACACGTTCGTAAGTACTTGCGTAACTGCTTCGTTAATCCGGGTCCAGGTACCCATTCACTGCTGGGTGAACAGAAGCTACAGTTACGAATTCGGGCGTAGTCCATCCTACCCGGCCAGGATACAAACCCAGGCCAAATCGCTGACAAAGATTGGGGCGAGTGTGTTACCACTACGCCCCGGGGACTGCGGATATGCAAATAAGTAACCCCCCAGAGGCACTCACCGGGGCTGGCAGGAGCTGCCTGACGAAGGCGTTTCTGGGGATGAGACTCGCGATATGGCAGAGAAAACATCTCGTCCTGAAAAATATAGAATATTAGAAATATCTGCAAACTTCAAATCAAATGTTTATTCAGGTAAAGTACGTACATATAAGGTGAGATACAAACATTGGTGGATTTATAGATAGAGCTAGTACATACAATGCCTAAAGTCACTATTACGCAAAGCGTTTCGGACAGGGTCTTCCTTTTTCAGTTTTGTTTTAAATTTAGATAAAAACTCTAGTTTAATTTCAACAACAATAATAATAATGAACAAATCTACAAAAGCCTTTAATGAGGGTTCGAACCTACGCGCTGAGTATTCCCAGGGACGCTCTAGTCTAATAAGGCTCTTGTGGATTTGTTCATTGATATATCACGTTAATGCGATTTCTCCGTGTAATAATAATAATAATACACAATGAAATCACATTAACGTGTTGTATCAATAGGAAAATCAGTAGGAGCCGTGAGAAGGTTTCAAACCCACTCACTTGGGTTCGAATGCACCAATATTCCACGACATGATCGAAAATGCGTGGGAGGACCAAGTGAGCGGGTTCGAATCCTTACAACGGCTCCTACTGATTTTCTCACTGATCGCGTTAATGTGGTTTCATTGTGCAATAATAATAATGATTTCAATGTGCTACAATTACCACATGTTTCCCCATCGACTCACCTTTTCACTGTCGAGGGGCAACCCTATTCTCCTCCTCATGGGGTACTCCTCGGGCAATATCACCTTCCCTACTTCTGGGTGAAGCTCGGAGTGCCTTCTTTGGGTCGTCCTCGTCGATACCGGCAGAGCTCTCGAAGTATCTGTGCTCCACCTTCGCCCTCCCGCTGGAACTCTCTGAATCCAGGTCGAACTTATTGTTGAACTCGATGGTCTTCTTGAGGAACTAGACGATCTTCTTGGTGGACTTGACGATATTCTCGAGGGATTAGACGACCTTCTTGGTGGACTGGACGGCCTTCTTGGATGGCGTTCCTGGTCTTCGTCCATAGGTTGGCTGTCTAGGTATCGTTTGTTTACTAGTGGTGGTGGTGGTGCTGGATATCTGTTATGTATCATTGATTCTTTAAGATATTTGGTCTTTATTAGGGGTTCTTCAGGGTATCTGGTGATTATGAATGATTCAGGGTATCTGCTCTTTGTTGGTTGTTCAGGGTAGCCACTCTTTACTAATGATTCTTCTGGATATCTGCAATTTATTTGTGATTCTTCTGGATATCTGGCCTTTATTTGTGATTCTCCTGGATATCTGCTCTTTATGTGTGATTCTCCTGGATATCTGGCCTTTATTTGTGATTCTTTTGGATATCTGCTCTTCGTTACAGATCTTCCAGTTGATATACCTGTTGGTTCAATATCAAGATATCCGCCTAGGACTGGAAGCGTTGTATTAGCGTGTGTGTTTTTCATCTGTGTTTCTCCAGGCATTTGTAAGGACGCGTCCCCCGTCTCAAACGTTTGTGGGAGACTATCTTTAGTCTGGGGAGTTCCAGGATGTCTGCTTATTGATTGGGGTGTCTGTGGATACTTCCTCTTCGTCAGGGGTATCTCAGGATATCTGTAGGTGGTTGGCGGGTCTTCCGAATGTCTGTGAGTGGATGACGGGTCTTCCGAATGTCTGTGAGTGGATGACGGGTCTTCCGAATGTCTGTGAGTGGATGACGGGTCTTCCGAATGTCTGTGAGTGGATGACGGGTCTTCCGAATGTCTGTGAGTGGATGACGGGTCTTCCGAATGTCTGTGAGTGGATGACGGGTCTTCCGAATGTCTGTGAGTGGATGACGGGTCTTCCGAATGTCTGTGGGTGGTTGACGGGTCTTCTGAAAGTCTGTGATTTGACAAATTGGGTGTGGTATGGCTGTCACTCTTCCCTCCCGTCTCAGGCATGTCGTAATCTGCATTTTTGTCAACGTTATCGTACTCGTCCTCGTCGTAATAGTCGCTGTCACCGGCGGGGTGCTCATCCTGTCTGCCCGGCAAGTAGGTGACGGTCGGTGAGGACGGGGCGCCAACTGTGTCCTGCCTTCTGGAGATACCCGGAGACCACCTGTCGCTCCAGTCACTGTTCCAGTCCCGATTCCAGTTGCGGTTCCAGTTCTTGTACCAGTTATAATCACCGGGGTTATTCCATGGGGCGTCATTGACGGCCGTGGTGTCCTTATGGGAGCCCGCTTGGTCAGTGGTGTGGGTAGGGTTCTCTTCGGTAGTGGTCTCCTGCTTCGGGTTTGTGGTCGAGGGATGATACGACCACTTCGATCTGGGGGTGGAGACAGGTTGCCATGTCTGCAATAGATATCACTTATCACAAACCGAAACTCCACAAACAGTAACATTACAAATAAACAAATCCACAAGGACCGTGACGAGGATTTGAACCTACGTCCGAGAGCATTCCAGACGCTGCCTTAATCGACTGAGCTACGACATGGTCAAAAGAATTAAAATCAGAAGTTCTACTGAACTTACTTGGATTACAAATAATTTCTTAAATGTTATTAGTTCTGTAGTGTACAGTGAGTTTAATTAGCAAACTGTTCCTGATATTGCAATAAAATTTGTCAGATTATTTCAAGGGTATGATTATCATGATTTAGTGGGCCTCGTAGCCTGGTGGATAGCGCGCAGGACTCGTAATTCTGTGGCGCGGGTTCGATTCCCGCACGAGGCAGAAACAAATGGGCAAAGTTTCTTTCACCCTAAGTGCCCCTATTACCTAGCAGTAAATAGGTACCTGGGAGTTAGTCAGCTGTCACGGGCTGTTTCCTGGGGGTGGAGGCCTGGTCGAGGACCGGGCCGCGGGGACACTAAAGCCCCGAAATCATCTCAAGATAGATCATCATAGGGAGCCGGTCGGCCGAGCGGACAGCACACTGGACTTGTGATCCTGTGGTCCTGGGTTCGATCCCAGGCGCCGGCGAGAAACAATGGGCAGTTTCTTTCACCCCTATGCCCCTGTTACCTAGCAGTACAAATAGGTACCTGGGTGTTAGTCAGCTGTCACGGGCTGCTTCCTGGGGGTGGAGGCCTGGTCGACGACCGGGCCGCGGGGACACTAAAAAGCCCCGAAATCATCTCAAGATAACCTCAAGATAACCATCATAGATTCCCGAAAGCAAGCAAAATATATATATATATATATATATATATATATATATATATATATATATATATATATATATATATATATATATATATATATATATATATATATATATATATATATTGACATGATTAATAAATAAATAACCTAACCCCCCCATACAGAAATGAATGAGAGTGACGACGTTTCAGACCGTCTCAGACCCTCAATAAGTCTCATCAAGTCGTATTATGTATATAAGTTAGGGGTCTCACCTGAGGGGTCTTGGTTGAGGGGAAGGGCGCGACGAACGTCTTCTCTCGGCCAAGGATACTAGGAGGTATAGTGTCGTGGTACGGCGGCCCGGCCATGTTGTATACGCTCAAGGGGTCCGGAGTCGTTGTGGTGGGCGTGCGGGCGGTGGGCGTGGGCGGCGACTGTTGGTGTGGCGGGAACTGTGGGTGTGGCGGCGACTGTGGGTGAGGCGGCGACTGTGGGTGAGGCGGCGACTGTGGGTGTGGTGGCGACTGTGCTCGTAGCGACGGCTGTGGGCGACGAACAGGCAGAGGAGCTGCAGGTTGTGGACGCTGTCGGTTCTGCCTCCCACTGGGTAACTTTCCATGCCAACAGAAGAACAATATCTCATCAAAAATGTGCCAAATACATATTCGACAGCGTTTTAGGGTACAACCTTCCAAAACAAAAGGTAAAGACAAAAAGGTTTCCGGGTCTAAACGTTCTGGTTGAAAATATTGGTAGAAGCTTCCAGTGAACGGGGGGAGGGGAGGGGGGAGAAAGTATGTTCTGTGTATTCTGTTCTGCTCTTAAGATGGCTTGTACTTGAGCCGAAAACGCGTTCAGCAATCTTATTTTTATTGTGGATATCCCGCATACCTACATGGAAATCTAAAGGCAATGAGAAGCAGAGGCAACACTCCAGACAAGCACCTATGCATTCAAGACTCACCTTCAGTGAGTTACACATTACCAATATCTCGGAGTATGGACAGATTCTAAAATGGCACTCAAGAAGCAAACTCAATATCTGGAGGAGAAAGTAAAATCACGACTCAATATAATGAAAGCAATCACAGGGCCCCATTTAGGAGTGGGATACAGTGTGTTAAGAATGTTGTACATACACGCCGTTCGTTCCCTAGTTGATTGTGCAGCGCCTGCCTTATCACCACATACAAAATTCTCAGAGGAATTGACAGGGTAGACAAGGATGGATTATTTAACACGGGTGGTACACGCACAAGGGGACACAGATGAGCCGCTGAGACATTAAAAAGAACTTTTTCAGTGCCAGAGTAGTTAGTAAATATAATGCACTGTGAAGTGATGTGGTGGAGGCTGACTCCATACACAGTTTCAAATGTAGATATGATAAGAGCTCGAGAAGCTTAGGAATCTGTACACCAGTAGATTGACAGTTGAGAGGCGGGACCAAAGAGCCAAAGCTCAACCCCCGCAAGCACAACTGAGAACACACACACACACACACACCACACATCAGCGTAAGGTGTCAACGTGGTGTTACGATTAACCTACAATACTTGAGAAGTTGGTTTGGTTTGCTGAGAAGAGGAAGGAGACTTTAGAGAAAGGAGGAGATGGAACCTCAGGTTAAAACTGAAAAAAAAAACTGAAGCTACTAACCTTATGAGGAACTTTCCGACCCTTGGGTCGGCCACGACCCTGAATGTTCTGTGAAGAAGGTCGCCCTCGGCCTGGCCGCCGTCTCCTGCAAACACATGGACATTTAGCGTTCAAAGAAGTATTATCTCAATTATGTTGTTCTTAAGTAATATTGGCAAACGTTAACATTGTTGCGAGCCTTTATTGTCAAGGAGTAATATTGCCCATGTTTTGCACATGTGGGCTGAAAAATATTTTGGACGCTACTGAGATTTACCATTATTGCCGTCATTCTATTTATGGCATTATGATCATAACTGGTAGAGCCTGTGACTATCATTATTATTATTATAATTAATGCTGAAATTAGCTATGAGCATATATACGAGAGAGAACATTTTCTGTTGCCTCGATGATATCACCTTGACAGGGCTGTGTACGGAATGCCAAACAAGGTCCAAGACTCCTTAGCTGTCATGGTCTGAATGGTTCTCCTTTTGCTGCCTGCGTCCCTCCTGCGAGTCCCCTGCGCCCCGCTCACCCCCGGTATGTTCTGGTACAGTCGGGGGAACACCTCCCAGTTCGACTTGTGTGCGGGAAGGTGCATACGCTGAAGGCTGTCGTGGGAGGCGGTGGAGCCGCCATGTTGATGCGCGTCGACGGGTCGTGGCGGGAGGTCGTCATGTAGTTCAAGTGGGGCGATGTTCTCGTGAAGAGGTGAATCGTATTGACGAAATGGAGGTTCGCGTCGATGAGGGGAAGCCTCGTCATGGCGGGTGTCCAGGCGAAGTAAAGCGTCTTGTGGAACTGGAGCTTCCGCCAACATATGCTGCTTTTGGGGCCGCTGCCAACTTGGTCCAAAACGCAGAGCTTGAGGGGAGGGAAGCACTTCGTAAGTCTCTTGAGCACTCGCGCTGGGGTCCTGTGGATCCTGGCTGCCATGAGGGACCTGGGCGCCATGAGGGACCTGGGCGCCATGAGGGCCCTGGGCGCCATGAGGGACCGCCATGAGGGACCTGGCACCATGACCATGAGGGGCCGCCCATGAGGGCCCTGGGCGCCATGAGGGACCGCCATGAGGGAGCACCATGAGGGTCCTGGGCGCCATGAGGGTCCTGGGCGCCATGAGGGTCCTGGGCGCCATGAGGGACCTGGGGGCCCCATGAGGGACCTGAGCACCATGAGGGACCTGAGCACCATGAGGGTCCTGGGCGCCATGAGGGCCCTGGGCGCCATGAGGGACCTGGGCGCCATGAGGGTCCTGGGCGCCATGAGGGCCCTGGGCGCCATGAGGGACCTGAGCACCATGAGGGACCTGGGCGCCATGAGGGACCTGGGCGCCATGAGGGTCCTGGGCGCCATGAGGGACCTGGGCGCCATGAGGGTCCTGGGCGCCATGAGGGCCCTGGGCGCCATGAGGGACCTGAGCACCATGAGGGCCCTGGGCGCCATGAGGGACCTGGGCGCCATGAGGGTCCTGGGCGCCATGAGGGACCTGGGCCCCATGAGGGACCTGAGCGCCACTGAGCACCATGAGGGTCCTGGGCGCCATGAGGGTCCTGGGCGCCATGAGGGACCTGGGTGCCATGAGGGTCCTGGGTGTCTTGGGTACCACTGGGGTTGTGAGGGTGGAGGGCCTTGTGGCGGGAGGCGAGGACAGGGCGAGGCACCATCACTACCAGGACCAGCACTCCCAGCAACATGATCAACACCTAGGGATGAAAACGTTCATTAATAGTTCTGTAACAATTTTGAAAACGAATGACAATGAAATGGGACAACAACTAGAAGCAAATATAAATTATAATAAACAAAAAATGGCATTGCAGAAGAAAGTAAATAACCGGCAAGAGGTAAAATGCACAGTCTTACCGACACTACCCACCCGCGACACAGGTAATTTGCATAATCAGCATAGAACCGTATACAGAAGGAAGAAATGTTCACTCACCAGACAGCTGGCTGACTGTACAGCCGTCAGCAGCTGGTGGCCACTTCCGGCTCGACAGGCGGCTCTGCTAACGGCTGATCGTGGTACAGTATTTCCCTCCCCTCAAAAAGACTTATAAAAAGGCCCCGCAGTACCTTCTATAACAGAGACCGGAAACACACGTAAACTTGCCATTATATAACGGGGGATGTTCTCTAGGGTGGTGTTTTACGGGCTATTCATGCCCGTGCCACCTCTTGGGTGGCTTAATCTTTATCAATCATCAATCATCTAGGGTGGAGAGGGGCTCACCATAGCCCGTGCTGCTAGGAACGTTTTGTTCCCAGTAGCTGAATCGAAGACAACAACAACAACGTTCTTGTTACACACACACACACAGTGGATGTCTTTGATGCGTTGGGCTCTTCATCTCCCGCTGCTTGTGCGGTTTTCTTCCTTCATCTGTCCTCGTAATTTGTGTGTGAAGGAAGGAGAGGAAATGGGTGGGGACGGAGAAGGGGAAGAAGAGAATGGATAGTGAAAGCAACGGGTCGGGAAGTGGATGATGAAGAATGGGGAACGGGGGGGGGGATGTAGGAGAGGAAAAGAAACAAGGGAAGAGCGGGTGTTGGGGGTGGATGTAGTTCCGACACCTGGCGCCACAATGCCAAAAGAGAGCCCGTTATGTAGCTGTGGAGCAGTTTGTAACAACTTGCTTGCTGCGCGGGCGCCTTGTGCTCGCCTGGTGTGTGTGTACCACATACGGGGGAAGGAAAACATGTTCTTTGGCTGACTCCCACGAGCTTAAAACACACACACACAGCAGCACGCGCCTGCCTGCCCTGCCTCCCCTACCCTCCCCCCCCCCTCTCTCTCTCTCCCCCTCTCTCTCTCTCTCTCTCTCTCTCTCTCTCTCTCTCTCTCTCTCTCTCTCTCTCTCTCTCTCTCTCTCTCTCCCTCCCTCTCTCTCTCTCTCCCTCCCTCCCCTCTCTCTCTCTCTCTCTCTCTCTCTCTCTCTCTCTCTCTCTCTCTCTCTCTCTCTCTCTCTCTCTCTCTCTCTCTCTCTCTCTCTCTCTCTCTCTCTCTCTCTCTCTCTCTCTCCCACCCCCCTCTCTCTCTCTCTCTCCCCCCTCTCTCTCTCTCTCGCTCCCCCCCTCTCTCTCTCTCCCGCCCTCTCTCTCACTAAAACTTAAATATGCACACGCGCGCACTCAAAGGTCTCTATACGCACACACATTGTAGCCTTGTCACTCGGTTTCATTCAATACAGGATGAGTGTGTGTGTGTTTAAATTGCACACAAACAGGTGTATATACACAAGGGTAGAAATAGCCTAAGAGTAGACGACAGAACTAGCCTAAGGTGTTAAGATGTACAGTATTTTATTGTTTGAAACAAAGTTACTTGAACAGTTCAGCTATGGGAGTGGTCAACGGGGCATCAAGAAGCACTTACCTAACTGTAGCTGTGAGGGGGTTGAGCTTCGGCTCCTTGGTCTCGCTTTTCTCTATGATCTTTTTTAGTACATCAGTTTTTGGCCTTAAGGGAGTTATGCATCAAATTACGATGCACTTTTGACGAGGACGGGTTTTGTGATGCAATCGAATGGGGACGGGGACAAGTGCTATTCTCAAGGCTAGATAGTTGCAGATGATTATTTCCCCTACCTTCTATCCCAAATCCTTATCCTCATATCCCTCCTACGTGTTATATATAATCGCATTGGCTTAGCGCTTTCTCCACGGGAGACATCTCCCGTCACGCAGGGTGCAGTCGCACCTCACACATATCTCAGTATCAGCTCTTGATACTGGTAATGGCT